CGGACCGTCAGCTATGGGGCGGAAACCCGACGACACTGCAAACCACTGCTCAAGCAAAGACGGTTTTTAGGGAATGGGACTACGACACCTGACTCCGTAAAAGAGGACCAGCAGATAACAGAATTAATCCAGCGGGCATCAAACCCCAGTGGATAAAGGCTACACTAAATAAGATGCAGAAGATAATCATTTCAAGACTAAATGGGAGCGCACGAATACAATCTGCCCGCCAGAGCAGCCGTCACATGAGCTGGCCTCCTCACCCCAACCTAAAACTTCGTCTTCTTGTCCTCCTTAACCAGCCCTGCCCAATATAACATAAATGAGCAAGCGGTGAAGACAACCTCCAGGGGAGTACGAGCATTATCACGGGGGCTTCATGGGGCTATTGCCCCCCTACCCTATGAAAACTCTTGAGTGTACACCTAATTATTAGGCTTAAATATCAAAGATTTTTCAAAGTTAATGCATAACTTATCTTTTTCGTCCTCTCAACTCTGATTAGCCCCTCAAGAATCTTCATCGAGCTCCGCCACTGGGTGGAGAAGCATAGCTAGACAGGATAAGGAATGCATAAAGAGTGGGTTTAGGTCCATGTAATTGTGCAAGTGCTTGATAATTGGCCACGTAAGACGTTGACTAACCGTGTACTCCACGTCGATCGGTCTGCGGGTGCTCGTGCAAATGGATGTATAGTATATGGCTTAATTTGCTTGGTTGTCAGATTAGAAGCTAATCTGAATAGCAATCCACATCCTTACTGATGCCGACGGGGAGTTGAAACTTACAAGAGTACCAGCTAGCGAGCTGGTTCAAAATATAGGCCCATTGGTGTTGCATAATGGAACCAAGGCCGGCCACTGTCTCGCTCATGATACCGATCTTGCGTGCATGTAAGTCCAAAGTTAGGAGCTCTAAGCATTCCCTAGACAGCGGTCTTCCAACAACTACCGCTGCTGCTGCCCTAATAATCTGAGGAAGGCAATGCATTGCTTGATTTTCATCCCTGTCATTCCTGTTTTTCTTCTGCGGGGGGTCTCTCATTCCTACTAACTTGAGGTTTTACAACAAACTAGTCAAGTTCATACATGAACCTGCATGAAAATTTTCCCAAATTAGGCATGAATGTAGCCACCGGGTTGTTCTAATCAAAACGGTCCATTGCCATCTATCAAATGCTCTCGGTCCATTGCCATCTATCACACCGGTGCACCCTTTAGGTTGGGCCCATGGTGCCATGCTCCGTTCGGTCGTGGAGGCAAGAGTTCATAATCAGTAGAATGTGTTCGTGATGAACAGGAAAGTGCTTGCTGGCCATGTTCATTCAGTAAAACGCAGTCAACTGCTGAATTCTTAACCCGTTGGCACGGAATTCAGATGACTTGCCTCCTACCTCTGATAAGGATGATCTTGTCTTTGCCAGAACTTATGAGAATATAATCTTTACCAATGGACACTTAGAGCAACTCCAATGGGGCGACCCATTTCGTCCGACCGCGGCGGCAACGAGGAAGGCGCTCTACATGCTAGGGGTAAACCCTAGCCAGCACAGCCTCGTCCAAGCCGCCGTCGCCGCGGCCAGCACCGGATCGTCGGCGTTTCCTCGGATGGTGCTGCCCGAGTCACCCCGCGCGTCGGCTTGCAACCCGGTCCCCGGCTTCCACGTCTACCCGCAGGCCTCCCACCTCTCCGGGGAGTGCTCACCCGACGTGAGCGTGGTCGCGCTTTCCACGCATGCGCCAGCGCCCATCGACCTCAACGCCACCCCGGTGGTTGGTGGCTCGTCGTCCGGCGGCACGAGGAAACGCGCACGGCAGACGCCGCCCGCGCGCTCCCAGACGCCCGTAACCTGTTCGAGGGAATGCCGTCCGCCGTTGATGAGGAATTCATGAAAAACCTCATCTTTGAGGGCGGTGCGCCAGGCGCTGGCTACGATCCCGACGAGACACAAAGCCAGGACGGCCGCGGGGCGTTCACGCCGGCCGCTGGCTATTATCCTGACCAGGCAACCTTCATGCGTGATCAAGTCGGCGTCGACCTGGACGGCTTCCCCCTCGACCACGAGTTCCCGGACGACTACGTGCTAGAGGAAGAGGACGAGTGCGACATCGACGTGGAGCCTTTGTTCGAGGACGAGCTCGCCAACCAAGCCGCCGGTCCTAAGCCCAAGCGCAAGAGCAAGCGTACGAAGGCGTACATGGCGGCCGAAGACAAGCTTCTTTGCGAGTGTTGGCGAGACATTGGACAAGACCCGAAAACGGGCGTCGGGCAAAAGCATTCGACCTTTTGGACTCGTGTGCACCGAGAGTTCCATGAGCGCAAGAAGTTTCCACTTTATCAATTTGTGAGCACGGCGGGTGGGTCTCCATTTCCAAGATGTGGAGGATGATCCAACAAGAGTGCAACATGTTTTGCGCCACCCTTGAAAGCGTCAAGGCCCGCCCCGTGAGCGGCATCGGCATGCAAGACATGGTATGATAGCAAGCAAGCCACCCTCTTTTGTGTCATCAAGATCATCCTTGCTATCACTTGCCCATGTGCTTGCATGGAAACATTTTGTAGGCATTTCAAGCTTTGGAGGCATTCAAGGTTCAACACAATGGCAAGTGCTTCAACCTCTCCCATTGCTATCGGGTCATCAAGGACGAAGAGAAGTTCAAGGCACAATATGCCGCACTCAAGGCACGTGGGGGGAAGAAAGTCGTGGAGGACGTTGGGGAGGGCGAGCCGGCACGGTCGCGGGGAAAGACAAACTCCAAGAAGGAGGACAAGCGAGATGCGGCCACCAACGCCTTGATTGCAAGCGTGGACTGCATGATGAATAAGAAGGACTCAAGGGAGGAGGAGCGCCGGCGTTTCAAGGCGGAGCAAATGGATGCTTTCATGGAGATCCAAAGGAGGAGGCTTGATCTTGACGCCGAGAAGCAAGCCAAGATGTTCGAGCTCGAGGCGGAGAAGCAAGCCAGGATGCTAGAGATCGAGGCCGCCAACGCCAAGACCAAGGCGAAAGAAGTGGCTCTTGCGAGCATGATGACCGGGGTGGAGATTATGAAGGTGGATCTCAACACCGTGTCGCCAAGGAAGAGGCCGTGGTTCGAGAAGATGCAGGCCGACATGCTCAAGTTCGCCGACGAGCGATCTATGGCGGCGAGGGCCATCTTCTTTGTATGCCGGCATGACCACGGGAGCCGAGATGGTGTGGTCGAACTCAAGTCCCCTTTTTTGTGTGCTAGCATGTGTGCCGGCCGGCTGGCGAGTGCGCCAGCATGAATTGTGGTGATATTTTCTGAAGCCGGCATTGTACGCCGGCGCTGGCATGATGCCGGCATGAGACACGGCCGCTGGAATGATCGGCCGCGGGTCCTTTTTATTTAAAAGTTGAATGCGGGCATGAAATGGGACGGCGCGTTGGGCGCGCTGCCGACCCAAATCTAAAAGAGAGCGGACGACGGGCGGGCGGCCGACCCAAACGGACAAAAAACAAACAAATGCGCCGTCCGTTTGGGTCAGCCCGTTGGAGTTGCTCTTACATCAAACATGCTTAGTCGTCCCGACCGGCCTACATGATGTTTTTCCTTGGCATGGAGGAGAGACAGTATGCGGAACATCTCTGTTTTACTGTCGGTTGGTGATGCGTAATCGTTGCTTTACATCAGATCGCCTCCCAAGTGGAGGCCTGGTCCATTTTCTAGTTTGCCCTCTCTGCAATTGTCACCTCCCTGAATCCATTGATCGTCTCCTCATCCAATTAATGTCTTTTTGCTTGTAAAATGCGGTTTAATCTGTTGCCATCCAGAGGGATTGCTTCCACGGTTCCTACACCTATGAGCATAGCGAGTGGTGCTCCTTCATGGGCTGCTGCTGCTGGTGGTGGTTCCAGGTTGAGGAAACTTATGGTCACAACGGAATTCCTGGGTAACAAATTAGGTTGCCGTTCTTGACCCTTTTTTCTTTTCTTTGGGCGGTACTGGCTGGAAGCACATGCGGCCATTGCTGCCGGCAGAGTTCATGATCAACTAGGGCCCAATTTATTGCACGGCGGTACCTTTTTTTTTTTTTGTGAAACGAGAGCACGGAGGTACCTTCGGTCTCGACAGCTCCTATATTCCCCACATAGGGGCGGGGGATAGCGAGCCAACGAGCACTCCGCAGTTTTTGAGAGAGCTGGGGCCATGCCACGTGTTGAAAAAAAGATTACAATTTTTTATTAATAAATAAATAAATAAAGTTGAATACAGTTTATGAAAAAATGTGCATCTTCATGAGTGAGAAAACATTCGTGACAAATTTTAGAAAAACAAATTCACTGCATATTTACAAAAATCTTCATGACATATTTGAAAATATGTTGACCATGTACTTAAAAAATGTTAATCACATATTTGAAAAATGTAATAATGTATTAAAAATGTTTGTTAGTATCTAGAAAATGTTTTTCATGTATTTGAAATAATTTTGCACATAATAAAAAAAAGTTTGTTGAGTATTTGGGAAATGTGGATGGTGCATTGAAACATGTTCGTCCTGCATCGCAGAAATGTTCATCTAATACTGTAAAAAATCTTCATCCTGTATTATTTGGAAAGTCATGAATATATATTAAAGAGAACATACTGAACATAACATAAGAAATAATGAAAAAATAAAATAAAATAGAATAAAATGAAATGAAATGAACTGGTAGAAATCGGAAAGAAAAAGACAGGAAGGATGTTTTTTTTCTGCAGAAAACCAAAATAGGAAAAAGAAATATAAAATAAAAATAACATCGGCAGCCCAACAGTCGGCCGGCACAAAGAGCTCCTGAGGGGTGCATTTGCTCGGGGGAATAGGATTTGCCTTTGGTCTCGCAGTGCTGAATAGCATGGGAGGCAGGAACTGGACACTTTTATTCAAATTCAGGTATGGAACAAGAAGGACAGCTTACAAGCATCGCAAGGGTTTATAAGTATCTGGCAGTACTGGCACAAACTTCTGCAACTATATCACAACACAGTTATTCATTCTCCAAGGGCAAAAGCAGCAGCATCGAAGGTCTCAGATAGACCAGTGCCGGTCTTGAAGGTGACCTTGTTACCAGGGGCCGTCACGCTCTCATCAACATACACCTCCACCACGCTGAGCCACAGGAACAGCTCCTTGGTCTTCACGCCGGCGATCTTCCTCAGCTTCCCCGGCTCGACGAAGGCCGTCACCTCGCCGGCGTACGACACGGTCTGCTTCACCTTCTTGAACGTGTGCTCCGTCTTCTTCCTCTGCAGCAGCCACATGAAGCCCGCCGCGCGGTTGTACCCGAACTCCTCCATCTCCTCCAGCGGCAGCAGGCCCGTGGGGAGGCCCAGCTCCTCGAGCACCTCCACGCACTTCTTCTTGCACATGGCATCGTCGCCCCGGAATATCTCCGCGCCGACGCGATGGATCTCGATGGTTTTGGATGCCATTTCAGGCGAGGCTATATCTCCTGCAATGCGGTGTTGACGATCTTGCGGGATGGGAGAGCTAGCTAGACGTGAATGATGGAATGTGACATGCCAAGCCAAGGTATATATAGCTAGCTATGTAGTAGTAGATGCGAGAAAGCTTCAATATTGATCACCGTTTATAAGAGTATTTTCTGTTTGAGAGCTACAGGTTGGTGATTTCTAGAGTGGGTTGTCAATATGTTTGGACCTACGTACTTTTTTGTCTCTTGAATTCGTCAACATATGTGAGCTTTACTCAGCGCGTAAGTGGTGAAGGACGAAGAGATATGGTGATACTCACACAGACTTCTCTGACCAAGTCCATAAAGGGTCGCGACGGCATAGCACAGCCCGCCCGCCGTGGAATTGAATAGGTATGCAATGGAGCACAATTGAAAATGTATGCTAGATTCATCGCAGAAAAATTGGGGAATTTATACTCTATCTCTATTTGGAACATCATTGCTGGCCCAATTATTTTGTTTTTACTTTTATTTTTCTAAAAGTCTTGCATACAATAATGAACTGCCATGTTTGTCGTTAATTATGTATCACCAATCCTCCTTTCCAGTTGGCTCAAATATTTAAACTGGTTTACCAAAAATCGGATAAAAACTTGTTTTCTATCTACTCAACGGTAAGATTTGCTATTGAAACAAGCACCTTGGGCTGACCAACTACTAGTTCAGGATTAATAGCAGTTGCCCCTGCCATTACCTTAAGGAAAAAAGTATTTTTTAGAATAACAAAAAAGTATAGAAATGGTTCTTCAACTCCAGAACCAGCAAACTGTCCCTCGTCCCGCTTTGAGTGGTTTTATTGATGACGTGGCATGGTTTTCATTGTCATTTTATCGAATACTATCGTGCGTCTGCCACATTTTTGGACGGTGGCGTCGAGTGCCGCACAGCAGGCTCCGACGTTCCCTTCTTCGACGGCAAGGCCATGCCCAGCACCCCGCCCAGCGCCGTGGTGCCTCCGTTGAGCGGCTTTGCACAGCAGGCGAAACGGAGACACGTTGCAGGTTACGACCGTCACCACTCGAGGATCGCCGGTGCGTCCTGAGGTGAACGGAGCATGTCCATGGACAACTTTGTGCACAACCCTATCAGCTGCTACTCAAACAATTCACGTCCGGGCTTGACTCCGACAATTCGTCTCCGTGCTCTACATTGTCGAGGCTGCTCAAGGACATGGCCGCCGCACGGCGGTGGAGGCTGTCCCCTCCTGTCGGCTACGTTGTGGTTTCTCCCAGGGACGTTGTCTCCTCGTCCTCCCTCCAGGTTTCGTGTTGCTGGCCTCAGTGAGACGGCGAAGTTGGTTCGGTGACCGTGGTGGCACATGCTGGTGGGCGGTGCACTTCCAATTGTTCGGGGTGGCGGTGGTTGTTTCAGGGCGGGAGAAATCCCTGGCGGCTTGTCCGTCACCGGCGCGGGTACGCCCACGGACGTCGCTGGATCTTCCTGACGGGTGTCGGTGATACCCCTTCCCCACTGCCATCCGCGTACCGAGGGAAACCCTAGGACTTGTCCGGGCAGTAGCGTCGCATTCCTTCCTGAAGGTGTTGCTTGATACGCGAGGCTTCGGAGTGCTAGGAGTGCGGTGGAACTTCTTCGGAGGGTGCAGCAGGTGTCGGCCATCTTTGATTTGTTGATCTGCCGGCGTCGGCATTTGCTTCTTTTTCTTTCTCTCGTTTTTTCTTTCGGGCTTGTTTGTGTTGCGGTCCCAGCAAGCTAGTTTTTTTCCAACCGGGCTCACACCCCTTTCCATTAATTGCTTAACAGAAATACAACAGTCTTAGTTTGTTATCAAGCCACTGCACACTCAACTACCAGCGACCGACTAAGCAAAAGGAGACCGAAAGGGGAGAGCGACTTGGGGCATCAACAGGAAACCCGCAACAAATGGCTCTAAAACGAGTCATCTACCACGGGGCGAAAACCTGTTGACACCGACCATCCCATCCTCGAAACGAACAACACTACGAGCACCTCACGCATCAGGAGAAAAGTACGAGACGCCACCACCAAAAGGAGCCACAAAACATCTCAGCGGGCATCAAACCCCAGTGAGATCATAAACAACGGAGATCACTGGCCAGAGCATCTTCAAGCTCCCGCTCCATTCCCCAGCATAAGCCTCCCCCTAGGAGTAGAACGATCCGCCAACGACGCAGCCACGCGCACCATCTTCTGCACTCCAGCCTGGACTCTTTCCTTGTCGATCCCTTTCACAAGACCTGACCAATACATCAAAAAGGAGCACGCAGTGAAAACAGCCTCCAACGGAGAGTGAATGACACATTTATCAAAGGTTGCCTTATTGCGGGTGCACCAAATACCCCAACAGATAGCAGCAACAATAGTCATGTAATGTTTTTTACCCCCAGGAAGATATTTATAGAGCCATGCCCAGCTCTGCCAAATAGATCTAGGAGTACAGGATGCTCCTAAAGCAGTCCCAATCACCCCCCAAACAGAACAAGCAAACACACACCCAAAGAAAAGATGATTTGCAGTTTCAATATCATGGCAAAATGAGCAAATTGGATTCCCAGACCAGTTTCTTTTGCGCAGGTTATCCCTGGTAGGGATGGCATTCTGGAACAGTTGCCAAAGGAAGATTTTAATCTTCAGAGGAATCTTAGCTTTCTAGATCCACTTGTAATCAGGACCTGATAAATCTTTTTCAAGCCACTCATAAACAGATTTTGTTGTGAAAAATCCTTTGCTATTAAACTTCCAAACAACTTGGTCTGGTGAACCATTCAAAGATAGCCTTTTGGCCCCATCCACCACATCAGCCCACTGATCAGAAAGATCGGCAAAGAGATTACGCCGGAATCCCATCACAAAGTTATTAGCAGCAAAATTTACTAGGGTACATTCTTGCTCTTGACAAATATCATATAAAGAAAGGTAACAGGCTTTCAAAGGATTCTCAGATAGCTAGGGGTCGTGCCAGACCCTAGCCAGGTCGCCCATATTAACACGAATCCCTCTGCCCTCCATATAAACCTGTTTAACTTTCATAATAGCTTTCCAACAGGGGAGTCGTTAAATCGGGTCTGCACATTAGCCACCGTCTTGCGCTTAAAGTACCGGGCCTGTACAATCTTTTGCCACAGCCCATCACCTGACTCCAATTTCCACCACCATTTAACAAGGAGACTAATGTTCTTTTTATGGAGATCCTTAATACCCAATTCCCCTTTTTTTTCTTAGAGCGACAGACTCTAGACCACTTAACCCAATGATAGGCTCGCTTATCTTTCTTCTTCCTCCAAAAGAAACGCCTACGATTGTTTATTCATCTTCTCAATAAACGTTTTGTTAAGGAGGAACATAGATATGAAATAAGATGGAATCCCATCTAGGCTAGAGTTAACCAAAGTTAATCTAGCACCAGACGAAGCAACATAACTAATCCAGGCAGCTAATCTTTTCAGGAGCTTAGCATCTAGGAAATCCCAGTCCACAGTTTTAAGCATAGTATACGTCACTGGGACCCCCAAATATCTCATGGGGAACTTGCCAATCTGGCAACCAAACATCCCAGCATAAATTTGGTCAATACCGTTATCCCCTCCAATCGAAAAAACCTCACTTTTATCAAAGTTAATTTTTAGTCCAGACATCATTTCAAACAAATAGAGTAGCAGCTTAACATTCACTGCCTTGTCCACATCATGGGAGAAGCAAATTACTGTATCGTCTGCATACTGCAAAATCCCTACTCCCCCCTCAATAAGATCAGGCGCAAGCCCCTCGAACAACTTATTTTTTTTGGGCAGCCAGGACCATCTTGGTCAAACACTTAGCGGCCATATTGAACAGAAAAGGGGAATGAGGGTCACCCTGACGCACCCCTTTGGCACTTTTAATGTAAGGCCCAAGTTCATCATTAATCTTGACACTAACCATGCCATCGCGAAGAATCTGAGACACCCACCCACACCACTTAGAATTAAAACCTCTCTTATTATGACAATCAAGAAGGAAATCCCAATTGACCTTGTCGTAGGCCTTTTCAAAGTCAAGCTTAAGAACAATTCCCGTCCTCTTTTTCACATGAGTATAATGAATGACTTCATGTAATGATAGGACCCCATCCATAACGTCGCTCTCCTTTATGAAGGCGTTCTGTTGAATACTAAACAGCTTGGAGGCATATACACTTGCTCTCCTATCCATGACCTTGGTGATCAGCTTATAAGGACAGCGCAATAAGCAAATAGGTCTGTATTGTTGTATTCTATTGGCCTCAGAGGTTTTGGGCAAAAGGGTGATAATGCCATAATTCAAACGCTGCACATCTAGCTTGCCTTCATGAAACCACTCAAAAAGTCTAAAGAGATCCATGCAAACAACATCCCAGTAGTGCTGGTAGAATTCAGCAGGCACACTATCAGGGCCAGGTGCACGATTAGGCTCCATGCCAAAAAGAGCAGCTTTAATCTCCTCAAGGGAAAAGGGTTTGGTTAACTCATCATTATCACTCGAGGATATTTTCTCCTCACTAGACCACAAAGAGGCATCAATACTACACATATTGCCGGGTGCAGGTCCAAACAACTCCTTATAGAATCTAGTAGCATGGGATAATAAATTCTTAGTCCCCTCAATAGTAGTCGAACCACATTCAAGAGAACCCATCATATTTTTCCTACGTCTCCCATTAACCACTTTATGGAAGAAATCGGTATTATTATCACCTTTCAGAAGCCACCTTTTGGTAGACTTTTGGTGCCATGACTCCTCCTCCTCCATGTAAATATTATTAAGTTCTACCAGGATACTTAACTTCCTCATATATGCCTCCCCACACAGATCAGATTGCTCTTCTAAAAGCTCCAACTCCTGAAGCTCCAGTCTAAGTAGGTTCTTCTTAATCCTACTATTGCCAAAATTATTTGAGCCCCACCCTTTAAAAAACTTCTTCATCCTCTTCAACTTAATATTCAGAACATCAATAGGGTC